AATGCAGCTGGCCTTCCTTGTTTGCTTCCTCTATCCTCCCAGGTTGGCTTTCCTGCTCTCCGTGTTTCTGTTTTGTTTGCCCTCAGCTTCACGGCTAATTATGTCTGCTCAGCTCCTGCTGTGCCCAGCCATCCTCCCCTGGGGCCATCTGGGTTCTACCAAGCTCCATCACTTCCTGGTGTCCTTACGTGAGATCCCAAAGTTCCGGGAGTCCAGAAGTTCTTCCTACAGACTGACGGTCCACACGTACCCACCAAGATCACACTTCTCAAAGGGTTCGTAATGGTTTGCAGAATGTGGGGGGCCAGACACAGAGAGTGCCGCTCATGATGCACTGCTGGAGCCAAATAAGACAGAAGCATGGGCATGGAGGACAGCTCTCTCTCCCTGTGTGTGTGTGTGTGTGTGTGTGTGTGTGTGTGTGTATGTGTGTGTGTGTGTGTGAACCCCATATATGCACATGGGGTTCAGAGTGTGTGCATATATATGTCTGAGTGTACACACGTCCATAACCATACACGTCTGTCCAGGACTGTATGTCCATGCATGTATGACCATATGTCACAAAAGGCCTATTCCTTTTTGCACCCAAACCTTACCTAGTCCCTGCTACCTTGCCACACGAAATACTCCTCAGGCCACCTGCTTGTCCTCTGTGTTACCTCATCACTGCCTGCTGCTCTACCAAGCCTGTGAGAACTGTTGCTGCTGCAGACCCCCTTTTGGTGCTGTTGAGATAGACTCTGTATGTGTGCCTGCCTCCTGCCAGCTGCCCTGTGGTGAGGCTGTAAGCTGCTAGTCCCTAGGATGCTGCCAGCCCCTCCCTATGGCTCCCCTACCTGTTGCTGATCTCTCCTCTCCACACCCTCAAACACTGGACTTGCTTGAGTGAGAACTGTCGCTCTGGCCAACACTCCATCTCCATTGTCCTGATTTAGGAAGGGCCTCATCTCCCCACATCTCTTACCATGGTGTTGGGGTACCACCCAAACCCCCATTTCCTATTCTCCTTATCTTTCCTCCCAGCTTGAAAGAAAACTAGAACTCCTCCTGAGTGATCAAAGTGTTAGACTCTCATCTTCTGCTTTGTTTTTATTCCAAACCCTCTTCTACTCCCCAATGAGATATTAACAACCAGACCGAGGCAAGAAGAGGCCTGAGGGATGGCTCGCTGCAGGGGCAGCAAGGTGGTTCATCTTCACTAGCACCTTGAGTGGATTTAGACTCACCTAGGTGCTGGGAACAAGCAAAAGAAACTTATTCTAAGTATACCATTTTATTTTCTGACTCCATTTAATCACAGGCAGAAATGAAGTTCAAGGTCCTGGGTCCTAGGGGAGCTGGGGACCAATAGCTGAACAGCTTCTGTTGTAAGGAGACAGTTGTCCGAATCCAGACATCTCAGGGACAACTAGTAAGGAGACAACTGTCTGAGTCCAGCCATTTCAAAGACAACCAACTTCTTCATCTTGCTGGCAAGGTCAAACTAAGTTCAGGTTCTCAGGCCCCAGAAACCTACTCATATCCTGATTGGTGAAAACTCCCTCGCTCAACCTTTTGTCAAAATATGACTGTACAATGCTACAGCCTACCCCGCCCCCCTTGCTCTATGGTTTTATCCTTTAAATATGCTGTACAATATGCCTTCAGCCTCACAGTTCAGCTCCTGGGTCTGTTCTATGGCCCTGATTGATCAGTAGCAGCTTGATTACTATATATTCTCATCATCTGCACTGACCTGCTGTTTGAGTTATGTTGGATTTAAGTGGACTCCGAGACACTAGGAAATGGAAGCACATCCCGAGCATGTCTGTCAGGGTGCCCTCCCCTTCCCCCATCACGCCTCTCTCCCTCTCTCCTACCTTCTCTCTCTCTCCATCTCCATCCAATAAACCTCTTTCATACAAGATTGGCTGTGTACATGGCATTTTTATATAAATACTAACAGGGAGAATAAACTGAGAGTCTAGACTGTCTTTGAATGGAGGAGTGTCTTCCTCCAATGGGCAGGATTAATGTAGGAAAGAAGAACCTGATCAGTTACAAGTATTCTCATCTCCCTTTTGAGGCCCATTGCGACTGTTCTGCTTCCCCATAAGGAACTGAACTCTCTGAATCCAAGAGCTAAAAACTTCCTTCTTCTTTTAAGTTGCCTTACTGGGTAATTCAGCATAGCTATGCATAAATAACTAACACAAAAAATTGGGCTGAGAAGTCAGGACATTGCTGTGACTAACCCTGTCTATGTGTTTCTTAGGCCTTAGACGGGTGTCTGGATACATTGTGTAAGAGTTTTGACATAAGGGTTTTAGGCCCCTCAAATGCTATACAACGAGCTAATGAGATATCCAGGTGAGAGCTCGGAAGACCAGGCTGTAGCAGAAATTCTACAGAAGGATGGGCTCATCAAGTTTTGGGATGCTGTTGGGAACTGGACCAGATGCCATCCGTGTGATATTCTACAAGAGAATTTCTTCTCTGTCCAGAAGTGTGACGTGAGGCCGAGTTTATAGCAGTAGCTAAATTAGCCACGCGGCATAAATTTCAAGGTGACAACAAATTCACACGGTGGCCTGCTCAATGCTGGGGGCTTTTAGACAGATTTGCAGTGAGAATCAAGAACAAAAAGCAGAGCACAGAGATTCGAAAGCCATGCAGCCTGGCCAGAAGGGGAAGCAATCAGAAAGCGGTGACTGAGAAGGGTGTGGTTGTTAGGTTGCTCAAGAGATTAATGTCATTAAAGAGAAGCCAACCGCTTCATCCTGGGACAACAGAAAATTGGCCAGACCCTATCATCAAAGGCTCCAGAATGATAACATGAACCGAGATAAATCCTGTCCCTTGGAACAATCCCTGTGGATTGTTCTTCATCGTGTCACAGTGATGAGAAAGGCTAATGAGAGGGACAGGGCATTCTGCCTGTGCCTCTGAGAAGGGAGACAGTGTACAATTTCTTCACCTCTCAGATAAGAGACTGGGATGAGACGCATGAGTGCTTGATTGAAAGGCACGTGAGTGTCCAGAGATAAGCATAGCTGTGTGTCGGCAGAAGCATTCATACATGTGAGGAAGTGTGAATGTGTGTGTGCTAAAACACATGGACGTGGGAGTAAGTATGAGTGTCTGAGTATATGGGTATGCGTGAGCATACACACGTGTGTGAAGTTTTTTTCCTAAGTGTGCTTTTATAGGCGTGAAGGTGTGAGCACAAGAGCGTATGTGTATGCATGTGTATATATGTAACCTGGGTGTAAACACACCATAGGTACATGGAATGAGCTGCATGTCCAGGGCAGTTAGTCAGTTTAAGGAAAAGTCCTTATTTAAACCTCACAGTGGAACCCTGACACTCTCAGCTGCTAAGGGATAAAACAACTATTGTGATTCATGTCTCAAGGCCACGCTGCAGGGAATAAAGTTAAAGTTTGGAGCTCAAGGCAGCCAAGAGTGAGGACCATAGAGCAACAGGTCCAAGATGATGTCATGGGGTGCAGCAGAGGATGAGACCCCCATGCCTGTCTGAGGAACCCCACAGGGAGCAGTTACCACAGACTTCGGAGACTGGGGACAGAGCCAGCCAACGGAAATGAATTGTCACCAACACATCCCAGAGGAAAACCTTCCCCAAAGCTAGATAGAGCTATGAAAGTCCATCTCTGTTGTTAACGGGATTTAAAGTCACCATGGAATGTGCTTCTGGATATGACGGTGATTGGGTTTCCAGAAAGGTTTGACTGAGGAGAAGAGACTCATCCTCCATGAAGGCAGCAAGAGCACCGTCCCGCTGGCTGGGAGAGTGAATGGAGCACTAGCAAACATCTCTCTGCTTCCCGACTGCAGATGCACTGTCATCAACCACCTCACTCTATTTTTCTTCAAGACAGGGTTTCTCTGTGTAGCCTTGGCTGTCCTACTCTCACGTTGTAAACCAGGCTGGCCTCGAACTCACAGAGATCTGCTTCCAGCCTCTGCTTCCCCGAGTGCTGGGCTATAGGCATGCACCACCACATCCAGTAACCACGTCCCTCTCTTACCACCATGCCCATCTCGTCATGAAGGGCTGTACCCTCAAACTGTGAGCCAAATAAACCCTTCCTTCAGGTTCCTTTCATTGGATATTTTGACCCAGCAAGAAGGACAGAGAAACTGTCAGGATCAGTGAAAATGGTCTGAAATAGAAAGCGTGTGTTTGACCCCCACCATGAGGTGGAAAGATACAGGACAGCACACGTGTGGCTCCAGCAAAGGCCACCCCAAGGAGTTAGTGGGACATGTGTGTTCTAGCTGCTTTACAGGAAAGTGGCTAGATGTGTGCTATCATGTTGTAATCGAGCAACAATAAGAAAATGGGCATAAATTTCCCCGGGACTGAGACGATGATTCGGAGCACGTCAGTTTGTATGACTGAAATTTAAACATTGAAAAGCTTCCTGGTAGGAAGAAAGTCACCGTGGCTGGGACACAGGACATCCCCAGAGGAAACAGAAAACACTCTAGGACTCATCATTCGTGAGTGCCTGATACAGGCACCATAGGAAAGGCAAGCAAGGACAGACACTGCAGTGAGATACAGTGAGTCCATCACGGGGGCCACAGGGATGTCAGGCACATGAACACACCACTCATCAAGCCATGCCCTTCACCCTGCGTGCTGCCACCTAAGGAACCATGGTGAGGCTGGGTCATAGAAACCACCGATTTACATGCTTCCTGATGCCAAAGCATCCAGGAAAGACAGACAGGAACCAGGACAGAAACGCAGAGCTGACTAGAGAAGCCACTTTATTTGGCACACAAGGTGAGAGGAGGACTCTAGGGCCAGGATATCCTTAGAGAAGGACAGGCAGAGAAGCATCTGTATCATTCTTCTGTGTTCTCTCCCCACGTTCCAGGGTGAGCGAGGTGTGCTTCCAAACTGTTTCAGGTGCAGAACCACCACCACAGAGGGGTAAATGGATGTGTCTCCTTTGCACTGGCAGCGGCTGGCTTGGAGACACTGCTCAGCAGCAGGAGGGGGTGCTACAGGTGACAGGCCTGCAGACCAGGGTGGGGCAGGAGGGCTCGCAGCACCCGGATGACTGGCAGGAGGAGGTCACACAGACAGGCCAGCAGCTCACAGGCACACACACAGAGGACTGGCACGAGGGGGCCATGCACACAGTGGGCCTGCAGCTCACGGGCACACAGCAGGTCACCTGGTATCTAACAGGAATGCATATAGCAGGCCTGCAGCAGGTTGATTGGCAGGGGTTGGACATACAGCAGGATGTCTGGCAGGGACTGGACACACAGAAGGATGGCTGGCAGGGACTGGACACACAGCAGGATGGCTGGCAGGGACTGGACAGGCAACAAGATGTCTGGCAGGGGCTGGACACACAGCAGGCTGGCTGGCAGCCTGAAGAGCAGCTGGTGGAACACATGGCAAAGGCTTGCTGGTCTGGAGAAGGGTAAGGATGTCTGGAGCACCTTCCTGGGGTGGCTTTTATACCCAGATCAATGTCCCAGCTACCCAGAATGCAGCTGATCTTCCTTGTTTGCTTCCTCTGGCTTCCCAGGATAGCTTTGCTGTTGTCTATGTTCTTGTTTTCTTTGCCCAACTCCATGACTAATGCAGCTCTCTAGCTGCTGCTACATCTAGGCTCCCAAGCTATCCTTTCCTGGTGCCAGCTGAATCCTTCCATGCCCCATGAATTCCTGATTTCCTTGCATGAGCTCACAGGAGTTCAGGATTACAGATGTCCTCCCTATGAGATGACAGTCCTTTTATTTATCAAAGATTATTTTTTCCTGTGGTCTGAAAAGCTCCTCAATGCATAGGAGATGAAAACAGTAGGTGCCCTCATCTATCAGTGTCCTGAGGAAAGACACATTGGACCATCCATATCCTTGGACAGCAGGTGAAGCCAGTACATATTTGCAGGGGCCAAAGCTGGAACCTGTGCAGAGGCCAAGGCTTTAGGCTCATCCCCCCTTTTGGTGTGTTCAGTAGTGAGTGACAAGTGCCATCATGAAAGACAGCACTATAATGGCATCTATAGGCATCCATACAGGTAAATCAGGATTAAGAAAGAGGCGTCTGAGTCAATCCTGGGTCTTTTGGATGCCTCTCTAGGATAAATGAAGAGACACAACATTCATGTGAGGCTGACTCTTTCCTACTGGCTCTCAACCTGCCCTTCCACAGCCACAGTACCAGAAAACAAAGGCATATGGCATATTCTCACCATGCTCAGCCACCCCAGAACCTGCTGTAAACACAGAGACCACATTTGAAAGCGCCTAAAGTCATTCTTAGGAAAGGTTTCCATGTCTCTTTGTTTCCACTTCAACTCTATCCTTGACAGGAAGGAAGCTTTGAGACAAAAAGATGCTATGCAGGAAGATGCAGGCCAGGAGTATAAACCTAGCAACCTAACAATCGGTTCAGCTGTGAACAATGTCTGAACATCATTACAGCTTCTGCTTACTCCTCTTTCTCTTCCTTCAGAAGTGGAGAAGATATCACACTGGAAAGAAGCAGAAAGTGGTTCAAAAGGCCAGACCATCTCAGCAGATGGCCTGACTTCATGCAGCAAGACTATGGGCTTGTAGGAGAGCCTGATGTGGGCAGGAGAACCAGCCTTACTGACTTTTATGCACTGCACACTCTGGCCACATTCTCCAAGAACTTAGTACTAATAAGGAGGTAGACCAGATGTCTGTCACAATGTCGGCTTCCCCTTAAGAACTCCCTACTGAGGCTGAAGGGACAGGTTCTCAAAGACCAGCTCAAGCCTTAACCACTGCATGAACATGGACCTTTGGAAACAGCGAACTGAAGATGTAGAGTGTAGCAAACCAGGAACCCTGATAGAACAGGCAATGGCCGAGGAGCCCTCTCTTAACTGCATGGCTGATGCAAATAGGAGATGTCCACACACAGACCGGGCTAGACAGATGCATACATGTGGCTCCTGCATGAGTTGAATGAACCACACTTTTGTCCAGCTATTTGCCAACCCAACTTCCAAATGAAGTGTGCAAAGTGGGTGGGTGGAGAGCCAAGGTAGGCAGGGAAGCACCTGAAACATGGGCAGGATATACCCCAGAGATAGATAGGCAGGGAGGTGGAAGGGGATCTGATGCCTGTCTGCCTATACCTATGTTCCAACCAGGAGGCTAGGCCAAGCTATAGCTAGTCAGAGCCAGACCACAACAGAGGACCACAGGACTAAGTAGACTCCCCCAGCATTCAGCTGGGACCCAAGACCACTGTGCTTGAGCCTAGAGGAAGACTCACTGCAGACGCCCCTGGCCCAGCCCACATGAGGATTCCGGGCACACGGATGGGATCTTGAGTGGAGGCTGAGTGGGTTTCCCATATTTGTACCTGTCTCCCACCATTCCTAGTGTAAAGTCAGACTTACACAAGTTCAAAAGATTTGGCCAACAGTTGGCTACCTGCTTAAACCAAAACCCATAGTCACAAGAAGATAATAGAACTCAGAGTCTCCAAATGTATTTTCATAAATTCAAGCACACGATCAAAATAACCAGGAACAAAAGCTTTTGTGACGTAAGTCACCCTCAGAAGTAAAAGCAACCAGCAGAAAGAATTGGGGATGATCTCATTATAGAGATGGGCAGTCAGGGACCACAAGCAGCTGCTCTATGTCCAAAGATCAAAGAAAAACATTATCTTCATGAGTGAATAGGTAGAGATTCCCAGGAGAGAGATGGAATTAATCCAACAAAAGGGAATTCTAAAACAGAAATGTACAGTAGCTGGAATTTAAACACACACTAGCATGCCTGAGAACAGACGCAAGGATGAAGAAAGATCAGCGGACCCAAAACACCAGTGGAACTCATTCTGTCAGGACCAGAGGAGTTAAAAAATAATAATAATTCAGTGCTGAGGAGATGGTTCAGTGCGTAAAGGTATATGCTCCCAACCCTGATGACTGACATGGTAAACTGTGATAAGTTGACCTCTCACCTAAACACACACACACACACACACACATGTATATTGTGTGTATATGCATATCTTGTGTGTATATGTGTATGAACGTATATATGTGTATGTATATATATATGTATATATATATATATAAATTATGTATATCTATAATTTTAAATTTGGGGCTGGAGAGACGGTTCTATGGTTAAGAGTACTTACTGCTCCTGCAGCAGACCAGAGTTCAATTCCCAGCACCCATGTTGAGCAACTTGTATCACCTGTAATTCCAGTTGCATCCTCTTCTGGCTTCTGTGGACACTTCACCCAACGTACATACAATCATGTAGACACAGATGCATAAATAAAAAGTAAAAATAAATCTTTTTAAAAGATTTTTTAAAACAAAAGCTGTGCAAGCTAGTTTTATGTCAGCTTGACACAAGCTAGGGTCATTTGGGAAGAGGGACTCTCCACTGAGAAAATGTTCACGACGCCTGTGAAGCATTCTCTCGCTTGATGATTGATGTGGGAGGGCCCAGGTCACTGTGGGTGGTGTCATCGCTAGGCTGGTGGTCCTGAGTTGTATAAGAAAGCAGGCTGAGCAAGCCATGAGTAAGCAGACCAGAAAACAGTGTTCCTATGTGGCCTCTGCTTCAGTTCCTTCCTTGAGCCCTTATCCTGACGTCCCTCGGTGATAGAGTATGACCTGAGAAGGTGTAAGATAAAATTTTAACACGTTCTTCCCCACGTTGCTTTTTGTTCGTGGTGTTTTACCATCAGCCCTTCCAAAGAACAGCAGACGCCTATGAGGAAGCAAATGGCTCAGAGGGCACCATGATAGTGATGCCCTCCGGCAGTGGGGGGTGAGCTAGTCAGGATAAAGGCCTTCCAAAAGGCCAGCCAATCAGCTGACCCAGGGCTAGTGGGGGGGGGGGCGGGGTCACAGAAAGCCTCCATCAGCAGGCTCAGTTGTAAAGATGGGACAGCTGTAAAGAGCCAGGCTGATGGGCGGCATCCCACCCTCCCCAATAATCAGGGGAAGTTAGCGTTTGAGGCAGGAGAAGCTGAGGCTCCTGGGGGAGCAGGAAAACCTAGGCCCTATCCTGGCTTCCACCAGGGTCAAGCTGACCAGTGCAAGCAGACCTCCACCTCAACCCTGGAGTCTCAGCCAGCTTCCCCTCAGCCCTAATGGACACAGATGTCGCATACTGGAAAAGAGGAGTCCCAGCTGCCGAGGCGCCCCACCCTTACCCATGCATGGGGAAGGCTTGTGGCACAGGAAGTGGGGGGTGGGCAGCAAGGGGCTGGAGAGATGGCTCCGCAGTTAAGAGTACTTGCTGCTCTTCCAGAAAACCTGTGTTCAACTCCCAATACCCATATAGCAGCTCACAACCATTTAAAACTCCAATACCAGTAGATCTGACCCCCTCTTCCAGCCTCCACTGACGTCAGAGACTGGTGCACAGACATTAAAAACAAACAAGACAACCAAATACAGGGTTGGGTGGGGGCGAGGGCAGGGGGAGAAAGAAGGACAGGGGGTGGGGGGAAGGAATTGATTCTGTAGAGAAAAAAAAATCAAATATGTTTTTAAGTACCAACAATGGACAAATTGAAAAAGAGATTAAGAAAACAATTCTTTAAGATGGGCATGGTGGGACATACCTTCAATCCCAGCACTTAGGAGGCAGAGGCAGGCAGTGCTCTGAGTTCAAAACCAGCCTGGTCTACAGAGTGAGTTCCAGAGCAACCAGAGCTACACAGTGAGACCCTGCCTCCAAAAAATTAAATATATAAGTAGATAGATAGATAGATAGATAGATAGATAGATAGATAGATAGATAGATAAATGGGAACAGTATATTTACAAGGCCATCCAAAAGAATAAAATATATAGCAATGAACTTAAGCAATGGGGTAAATTCTTGCACACAGTAACTGTAGCACTACTGAAGGAAGCGAAAACCCACATCAGTCCCACATTCCTGGATTAGAAGACAACACCATCAAGATATTAGAACCCACAGTCAGCCACAGATTCAGAACGACCCTTCGCAGAACCTGGAAACCTTGTTCTCAGAAATGGAAGAGCTGATCATCACATTCATATGGACTGGGGAGGACAGGGACCAGGATGTCCAGAGCCATCTTGAGAAAGAGGAGCAGGGCTGGGAAAATTGTACCCCAACCTTCAACACTGACAAGGAGCACCAGCATGCCAACAGTGGGATGCTGCCATGCCCCATATGTACCAACAGGACAGCAGCGTGCGTCCAGGAGTGAACACACATGCATTGGTTAGTGATTCCTGACAAGGGGCCGAGGCCATTCAATGGGAAGAACTGTGCCCTCAACAAAAGACTGGAGTTGAGTTCCTATCTCACCCTGTACTCAAAAACTAAGATATAGTGATAGCTTCGCTTCGCTAGCTAAAACCATCCACATCTTAAAAAGTGTAGGAGAACTCTTTACAACCTTGGGTTTGCAATGGTCTCTGAAATACTATAAAACGCATAAATAAGCACATAGGAGCTTATCAATGAAAAAAACTTTTGCGAATCAAAGGACATTAATTATTAAGCTATGTCGAGAAAGGTCAGCGGAAGAGCCTGAGACTAAAGTACAAAAAGTGCTGTGTTGGATCCTCAAAAACGTGGCGGGAGAGAGAAAAGGAAGGATAAAGGGAGTGAGGGAAACAGAGGCAGAGAGAGGCTGTATGAGAGATGCAGAGGGCATTATCAGGACATTATCAGAAAGCCCACAGAAGATACTGACAAATTATGTATCTGATAAAGGATTAATATCTTGAATACGGAAAGAATTCCTACAACAAAAGGCTATACCAGCACCAAGCAGGCAGAAGACTGAACACTCGTGTCTCCACAGGAATGGCCAATGTTCATTAAGGGAAAAGCCATCATGGTGTAATCTGCTTCAGCCCAACTGGCTTGGTAGGAATGTTTTTAAAAGGGAGGTAACCATTAGCAGCTGTGGGGAGTTTGGTATCCATCTGCATTTTTGATGGAATGGAGGGTAGTACAGACACAGAACACACTGTGGAGGTTCATCAAGAGAGACACAGAGTTACGGTATGAATGAACAGCCCCACCCCCGGGAAGTGAAGGACACCCTAAAGTTTTTTTAAAATGATCTTGCTATCTTCCCAAGTGCAGAAACAGGGTCTGCCTTCATCTTTGGAGGTGCCATCTGGCCTTGGACCCACATCCCTCCTTTATAAAAGATACTTGACCCACTCATTGGGAGTGTCTGAGCATGAAAGGCTCAAATGAGACCCAGAGTTCAAACATATAAACCTGTAGAAACACGTTACATGCAAATCATAACTCTCTATCCCATATGTTCATGGCAATCTCACAAATCGAAATGCATTTAGTCCATCTATAAGGGTCCCCATAATCTTAACAATTCTAACATTATTCAGAGGCATAATTTAGGTCTCCTCTGAGACTCAAGGTAGCTCTTAGATGTGGGCTCAATAAAAATAATAGATAGATAGATAGATAGATAGATAGATAGATAGATAGATAGATAGATAAGAAACAAGAAGTCCCGTGCTCCTATTATATACAGACACAAGCATTCACATCACAAAAAGGGAGGATGACAAGGGACAATCACACCAAAGTGAGACTGAAAACCATGGGCGCACACATTAAACACCACAGCCCCATGTCTGCCATCTTGGGCTCATGGTGACATCATCTGGCCCCATAGCTCTGATGCTGCAGCACACACAGCTTCTCCCTCCAGTAAGCCCCACCCGGTTCCCGAAGCTCTCCTCTGCAGACATTCCATGTTCTTGATTCTCTACCATCTTGGCATCTCCTCTGTACCTAAGGCTTCACCTTTGCACTTTCATGCAGAGAATGCTCAGCACAACCCTGCTACATATGGCCTGGCCTCCCTGGCTTTCCTCTAGAGCCTTGGTGCGAGCTTTAATGACCTCCCAGTTTTGCATCATGCATTCCTCCAAAACCAGACTCTTTGTACAAGCACTCTCTTTTTAGATGAAAGCTCTTCATGTGGGTTTGCATTTTTTAATGTATTTTATTTATTTATTCTTATATTTATGGGTGTTTGGCCTGTATGTATGTCGGTATACTATGTGCGTGTCTGGTGCCTGCGGAGGTTAGAAAAAAGTGTTATATAGCCTGAGGCTGGAGTTATAGATGGTTGTGAACTGCCATGTGTAGGTGCTGGGAATCAAACCCAGGTCCTCTGCAAGAGCAGCCAGTGCACTTAACCACTGAGCCATCTTTCCAACCCAAGTTTGCATTTTTATACCTTAGCAATTTCATTCATTGAGGTCATGGTTTCGAGGCCCCTTTCTCACTATCCCAGTAAAAAGTAGTTGGCTTTTCTTTCCTGGTGCTCATCTCTTTGGCAGGTGAAGCTGATTTGTCTACACCTTTCATACCCAACCCATCTAAAACTTTATTTACACCTACACCGCTTGCTGTCCAAATGTCACATTTTTACAGTGTCTTGAAAACCTGGCTAAACGCCGCCAGCAACAGCCATGCCACAGCCTGAACGTTATGTATCTTGAAATTACTTCTACCCAACAACCAGTCACATGCATTTTGACTTGTGAGATGGCCATGAGTACATAGGATAGAGTATTAGGATTTGAATGTGAAGTATTTCTACAGGTTTATATGTTCGGACACTGGATCCCATCCAAGCCTTGGATGTTCAGACACTCTTCATGGATGAGCTGTGTCAGAGTCATGGGCCAGGGCCAGACAGCACCTCCAAAGATGAAGGCAGACCCTGTTCTTGCACTAGGGAAGATAGCAAGTTCACCCCGACTCCTCTGGCCTGGACAGATCGCCAAGCTGCCTATCTAGTCTGTTTTATCTTGGAAGCAGAATGACAGCTTGGAACAGAGGACTTGAGTATCCATGTCCAGATGCCTGAACTGCCTGACACAGGCCCTGCTGTAAGTTTTTATTTGTGTCTCAGTTTCCCTATCTGGGAATAAAGAAACCATCCCCCTCCCAAGGTTACAGGGGACCTTAATATTGAGTTACTATTTATAGACTAATTCCTAGACCAAACCAAAACTATTATTACTAGTATTGTAATAAAGAAAAAAAAAGCACAGCTCTTGGACGGTCATCCCTAAATAAAGAGGATGTAAAATAAGGTTAAAATATGCTGATGACTCAACCAAGGACTGAAGCAGGGAGCCAGGGCAAAAGGCCTCAAGAGATGGCCATGGCACACAAGAGGAAGCTGCCCCTGCCTTGCCCCAAGCAGCCCTACCAGACCTTTTAGGGAAGAGCTACAGGCCACACCTTCTTGACTGATAGGTGTCATTAGAATCGCACCAACATCAATAAGGAACTGTAGCTGGAGCAACACAAATACACGCATCCTTGAGATATATAAGTGGCACCTGGCACCTCATCACTCACTCACACCTTCTCATCTCACCTTCTGCCCTCCAATCAGCCATGGCCACCTCCACCATGTCTGTCTGCTCTGAAGCCTGCACTGAGTCCTCCTGGCAGGTAGAGGACTGCCCAGAGAGCTGCTGCCAGCCCAGCTGCTGCCAGCCCAGCTGCTGCCAGCCCAGCTGCTGCCAGCCCAGCTGCTGTGCCCCAGCCCCATGCCTGACCCTCCTCTGCACCCCAGTGAGCTGTGTGTCCAGCCCCTGCTGCCAATCTTCCTGTTGTACACCCTCATGCTGCCAACAGTCTAGCTGCCAGCCAGCTTGCTGCACCTGCTCCCCCTGCCAGCCATCCTGCTGTGTGCCTGTCTGCTGCAAGCCTGTCTGCTGCACACCCATCTGCTCTGGCTCCTCCTCATGCTGCCAGCAGTCTAGCTGCCAGCCCTCATGCTGCCAGCCCTCATGCTGCCAGTCCTCATGCTGCCAGCCCTCATGCTGCCAGCCATCCTGCTGTGTGCCTGTCTGCTGCAAGCCTGTCTGCTGTGTGCCTGTCTGCTGCAAGCCTGTCTGCTGTACACCCATCTGCTCTGGCTCCTCCCCATGCTGCCAGCCATCCTGCTGTGCTCCTGTCTGCTGCAAGCCCTGCTCCAGCATGTCCCTGCTCTGCCGCCCCGTGTGCAGACCCGCCTGCTGCCTGCCCACCTCCTCCTGCTGTGCCTCCTCCTGCCAGCCCAGCTGCTGCCGCCCAGCCTCCTGTGTGTCCCTGCTCTGCCACCCTGCCTGCTCCCGCCAGGCCTGCTGTGGTCTCTGCTCGGGCCAGAAGTCCAGCTGCTGATGGGTCCATTTCCTGGGGATGGCTCACCTCTGCCCTCCCTGTACTTCTTGAGCTGCCTCTCAGATGAAGGCCCTGCCTTAGCTTGGTTGTCTTTCATCAAACAACAAAGGATTGTGTCTTGTTTTTTTGCCACTACCTGGCCTGAGGTCCTATCACAAGCCTGAAAACCCTGCTCCACAGTCGTCAGTGGGCTTCTTCCTGGGAAACTGCCAAGTGCCCTCCAGCTGGAAGCCTTTTCAGAACTCTAACAATAAATACTTTGACCTCCACCATGCCTGCTTCCTCTCTGAACTCTAGTAGAACCAGCATCAGGTCCTGAAGGGAGGCCAGGAAGCAATGCATCCTGGGATGTCTGCCCTCTCCAGCTTGTCCTGGGCCACCAGTCACACACCTGTGATAGAGGGTCCCAGTCACAGGTAGCCCCTGCCCATCCTTCCAGGCAAACCTCTTTCTCAGGAGCCACTTGGCAAGGACAAGCAGCAGAGGGTGATAATGTGTCTGATGCTAAAGATGTGGTACCTGATGGGACCATTGGGTGCAGCTGCTAAGAACCTGGTTTCTCAGAAGAAAAAGGGGGCTCAGTCCCTCACAAGAGAAAGCAGGCAGCCCAGCCTGGTGCTAGGAGGAGTCAGAGCCCAGGGGCCATCCCAGAAGAATAGCCAGCTCTTCCGCTCAGACTGCAAACAACCCTCGGGCTTTCACCATAAGCAGAGCTGGCTGCTTTCTCCTGTGAGCTCCCTCTAGGCCCAGCAGCTGCCTCTCCTCCATTGCTCTCCGTATTGCCTGCCGTGTCTGCCCCCCACATCCTTCATCCTCCCCTGAACTGCCCTGCTTACCATCAACTTCACTCTCCCCTCCCCATGCTCCCCACCCACCCCCAACCCTATCTGTTGGCTTGTCCCTGCTAGGGAAACTCAGGAAAGGAGGCCTCCAGGGCACACTCACCTACCTGGCCCTCGTGCTCCATCTCTTTCATTTCACGCACAGCCTTCATCCAGGTTGCTGTGGCCTGCCAACGCTGCACTCTCCCTCTGCCAGCAGCTCTTCAGGGTTAAAACACACTCCTCTTCAGCTGTGGGCCTGGAGGCCAAGCCAGGTGTCCTACCTTCCATCCCCAGGCGTGGGAGCTGCAGCTGGAGCTACGGCAGCCAGAATGTGCCGTTCTGACTGACTCAACTCCAGGCTGTGCAGTAGCAGCGCATGGCTGGACCTTTCCCTGGGTCCCTTGTATTTCACCAGTAGCATTAGGCCCCATTGTGAGCGCCAACTCCAAGACAGAATGACTTTGCATCTTGTTGCAAACACCAACACCTGTCACAGACTGATGACTTACTCCTGTGTCTTAATTAGGGCTTCTACTGCTGTGGAGAGACACCGTGAGCAAAGCAACTCTTATAAAGGAAAACGTCTCATTGGGGCTGAATTACAGTTCAGAGGTTTAGTCCATTATCATCTTAGTGGGAAGCATGGCGGTGTGCAGGAGGAGCTGGGAGTCCTGCATCTTGATCCTCAGGCAGCCGAAGGAGACTGTGTGCCAGACTGGGCATAGCTTGAGCACCGGAGATCTCAGAGCCCGCCCCCACAGTGACACACTTCCTCCAACGAGGCCACACCTCCTAATAGTGCCACTCCCTATGGGCCAAGCATTCCTAATCAAACCACCACAGACTGAAAGTAAAAAAAAAAAAAAAAAAAAAAAAAAAAAAAAAAACAGTTCCCTGTGAACTTGTCAGTGTGGGTTGGGAACACGTGCACACATGAGCCTATTAAAACCACATCAGAAAAACCTGGCCCGGGAGCTTGTCAAACGCACCAGGCCAAGGAAAGGTGCACCGCCTTCAGCTCACTCCATGGAGAAGAGGACACCTGGTACCCACCAGCCTCTCATCTAATCACTCAATGTGTGTCAAGGGGCTGACAGGAGAATGCCCAGCCGTCCCTGAGGCTTCTGCTCCTTAGTCCCCACTGCTGATGTGACCCATCCAAACTGTTGTCTGTCCATCTATCCACTTATCTGCCTGGCCCTGTTCCTGTAGCTCACTTACAGGTTTGTCATCTCCCCTCTGCAGCTCAGCATGCCTCGAGGTTGTTGACCTCATATCTACCCGTCTCAGCTGCTCTGCCTCTGTGAGGCCCGTTAGAGGTCCTCAGACTCTGCGGAAGCCTCGTCAACCCTATGGAGCCGTTCTGCAGCCTGTGTGTGTGTGTGTGTGTGTGTGTGTGTGTGTGTGTGTGTGTGTGT